GCACCGGGCACCACAGAGTACTGCAGACAAGTGACAACCACAGCTGCCTGCCACTCCACAAGAGCCCTCAGGTCATCCACCACGGCAGTCCCAGATGCATTCCCTGCTGCATGCTCATGGACAGGCAAACAGATCATGGACTCCAGGCTGCACTTCCACCTGGCTTGTCCCCCTGCTCCTCCAGTGATCCTTGGGCTGGAAGAAGGGGCTGCAGGTACACATGGCTTGAGTAGCTGGCATGCAAGTTGCCAGATGAGCCAACATGGCAGTGAGATTGCCTTTGCCTTCTCAGGAACACAGACGGTGAGGGGGTAGGCTGTGGACAAAGCGGGGCACAGAGGGGTCAGGTATTGCCCCTGCCATTCTCACCTGGCACCAGTTTGACTCTACCTCAGTTGTTCCCAGATGGGGCACCACTAAATTCCAAAAAATTATGGAGGGGTGCCTGGGGTTAAAATGATGGAGAATCGCTGCTTTGGCCCCTGAGCTTCGTCTCTTTGTAGCTCAGGTTCCTTTCCACAGAAACAAGCTAAATTCCATGTTTCACAGGCCCAAGGACCTGCTGCTGTGGGGTTAGTCCGGAAGTGATGGGCTCAGAGTCCCAGCATGTGGGCCACGAGAGACTTCACAGACTGGCCATTGTGGACTTTGATTGATTCCCCCCAAAGAGGCCCAGGATCAGGTCTGAGCACTGCTCACATTGCACTTGCACTGATCTGGAGGCCTGGGGTACAGGACCAAATCATAGACAACAAAAAACGTCAGGCAAAATGCATCCTATTGGGCACAGCCAAACACTGACTGGTCACAAGGCAAAGGTGCCATCTCCACCACAGAAATTCTTGAACCTTTCCTCTGACCTGTACATCAGTCACCCAGGCAAGCAGAACTCAAGTCTGAACTGGTTGTGGACTCCTTGGTTATTTTTAGTGGTTTGTAGGGGCAGCGGCAGATCCAACCTGAGGGGACAACAGGGCCAGTTGTGTGTCTCAGCAGCCTCAGGGTCCACGTAGGCCCAAAGAAATGTAACCAGAGCAATGGAGTTATCTGAGGAAGATCTTTGCCTCACTGATAGGAGGCCCAGAGTCAAGGGGAAATATGAAGAAGGCGAGAAGAGTCACATCTCCCACAAGGTAGGAATAAACAGATCATCCCAGCCATGTCCTCCCAGATGCACGGACATAGGTAACCTCTGCTGCCATAAAAAGTGAGCCTCTGGATGACACAGGCTCATGTGGCTCCGTAGACATGTCACAGTCCAATAGCAGACTCCCACTGACTGGGACTTATGAGGGTGTCTGACCCGTGCCCCACAAGAACAGGATGAGACTTGGCAGGGCTCTGAAATCCACTCAGAGCATGGATTGTGTGCATATGGCCTGGAGCCAAGACAAGTGTGGCAAGGCACACGACACACTCCCTGTGAAAATCAGAAATACAGTCACCTTATTTTCAAATGGGCACGTCTACATGAGGTGATTACTGTGTATTGGCATAATACCACTGCGCACTAGTGTATCACGGAGAAAATCATGCTAATAGCCTACTGGGCAGTGTTATTCAGCTAATGCACAGTAAGCATCAGTAAATAACCGTGTGCCAGTGCTAATACAACGTAAATCTAGGTACTGCATACTTAGTTAGTACTTTATTAAGCAAGTACTAAAGTAAATGCACAGTATCTAAGGTACATTAATGAACATGTAGACGCACCCAATGAGTGCAAAAATCAAGAAAGGAAGGAAGGGGCTGAAAAGCCTTCAGTCTGCATGTCGCCCTCCTCCTTCAGCCTCAGTCTCTCCATTTGGATAGTTGAGAATTTGTTTGTATTGTTTCAGGCAGCTGAATAGGCATTGAAGCTAGTGCTTATTCCTGTGATTTGTGGTATAATCAATAAAAGCTTGGGATATAGACTTGTCTCTTGCCTCTTTATCTGAGCTGGGTTTACTTTACCTGCTAAGAAGGAATGAAGGATTTTATTGGCAATTGTAATTGAATCTTCTTTTGGTGTACAGAAAGGATAATCATTAACTCTAGCCACATGTACATCATTAACTCTAGCACAGTTGTTACTGCACAGTCATTTAGTAGAATACTTGTATACACAAGTGCCACACAACACGACTGTGCAGTAGTAACAAGATACTGCACAGCCAGCTTCTTGTGTAGTATGAGAAGTATGAGGAGAATATGAGGAGTGTGAGGAGAAATTCAGTATGAGGAGAATGTCCCTTGTTCACCTACCAATGTCACTGTGTACTCTGGACATAGTACCATGCATTTGAGGTATGTAGTGGGGAATAGGTTTTTCGATCCTAAACTTTGAGGGCTGCACACACTGGCTGGAGCTGCCAGGGTCACCGTGTGTTTGATGCTCACATCTCATGTGGTGGTTCCCTTAAGCCACATCTACCCTGAAAACACAGTATGTCAAGCAACAGCACCATGTTGCTCCTAAACCAGAAGTAATGGGGCTGAGTTGGCAAGGTGGTCTGGCTAGGCAATTCTGCTCTGATTATCAGAATATTAACAAGTCCCTCTTTTAGCACTTTAGGAACATGGATCCACTACTTCCAATGCAGGAGGTAGGCCACTTGGAGCCGCATGGCTTTTTTAAGGGCAGCATTGTTCTGTGGTGCTTTCAGTTCCTTGGAAATACTCCCCCTGTGTTGCTCTGTATAGAAAATTGCCCAGCTGAGGTGCAAATTGGTGACTGTGAACGGGGTGGTTTCCAGGTACAGTTTCAGGAAAAGGACAAAGTGCCAAGTCAAGGTCAATGAGCAATTCCTATGTGCAAGCCATTTTGAAAGCTGAAGGGGTGCTGAGGTCAAGGGTGAGTCTCACCCTTTGAGAGCACAAATGTGGCCAGTTGAAGTGGATTTACTTTTGCTGGGTGCGGTGGGGGAGACACATACACTGAGAAATGCTGACCCTCCCAGATGTGTTCTGGGGACCAAGGAAGGTCCAGGGAGACTGTTGTACCAAAATCAGTTTCTCAAGAGTAACTTTCAATACACTTTAATGACAATGTTAATCTTAAAATGCAAATGACATGAAATGGTAAGGCAATATCAGCAACACATTTCAAACCATGTAATCAAATATTAATTACTGCCAGAATTTTTGCTATTTGGAATAGCCAAAAGATTTTTCTTCAATACACTAAGTTCCATAAGTGACATGTAAGTGCTGACGGCGAGGGGGCACTATTTTGCACCGCCACCATCCCTACTGCTGCCAGGCATTGGATCCAGCCAGGCTGCAGGCCCAAGCCCTGCCACTGGTGCAGAAATCACACCACTGCCACCACCTCTGCTGCTGCCAGGCCCTGGTTCTTGTCACCAATGCCAAGTCCTAAAGACTTAAAAGCCACTAACAGGTAATCTGCCTGTTAGGGAAGAGGATTTCTTACCAATGTATAAAAACGAAGTGTTATGGAAGTGCTTGCCTTAGTTCTTCTGAAGGTGGGCTATTTTGCAGTTGAAGATGAAAGCAAAGATTCTGAGTTAAATCTAAATTTTTATATTCAATTAGCTGGCTCGATTTTAAATACTTGTCAGATAAGTTTAAGAACACACCTAATAGATAGTCCCAGATTGATATTACTGGTAATATACCTGTTTTCATACTATGAATAAATTATGCCGAGTACTAAACCAGATCTAATGGGTATAAACCACTAAATGAACTCTTCACAAGTTTTAGCCAACTTCTTCTGACCCGTCTTTCTCTTTCCTAAACTCCTCTGCCCCTGACACTTTTTCACTTGTTCATTTCCTCTGCCACCTTTTCCCTCACATAAACTGTGATCGAGTAAATGCTCTACTGTACGGCCTACTATAGTCTACAGAAACTTCATGTCTCTTGCCTTTGCTTAGAAGGAGCTTGGATAAATCCTTACATGAACAGGCTGAGTGCCAGCCCTCTCAGGAACCTTTATGACTGCACTCCTACCCACCCAGGCTCTCACCTCTGCAAGGAGTCAATCAGGGACATAGGGAGGGGATGAGGCAGGAAGCAAAGTCTTTTAATGGTAAGAAGTTGGAGGGATCTGGCAGTTGCTGATAAAATCCCAGGACTTCAGTCAGCAACTCAGCTCACCTCCCTGGGGACAGTCAGAAACAGCCCTCTTCAATGGTATTCAGCTGCATACCCTCCACCCCCAGGGTCTGGTCTGAGCCTGCTGCTGTATGAGGTAGTGAGATGCAAAAAGGTAGGGTAGAGCTTGTAGTTAGGAGGAATAATTGGCAGTCTCTTGGTTTGCATAGAGAAGAGATTCTATTTAATGAAGCAAACAGGAATGCTTAGTACTTCCATTTCATTAAGGACCTCTGACTCCATCAGTGTGCCTTCTCCTGCATGGAAATCTCCAAGGCTTGAGGCTTTCGTAGGTATAAAGAGGGCAAATGGAGGCTGATGTCAAACATTCTGTTGATCATTTCTTTTGCTGCCTTAGCGATATAGTGAGTATATTGTTTTGCTCTGGGACCAGCAACTGCTGTCCGTTGTTAGTGAGTACATGGCCAATTATGGCAGTCATTTAGGATGTATAGGAAGAACTATGCTTTCACACACACCTTTCTCACTAAAGTAATTGACCCCCATGCACTCCTGTCTCTAACTTTAGGATTATTTATACACACTGGACTTACCTGTATGGTTTTAATATTGGATTGAATTACTCCATAGTTT